TGTGTTGCGTTGTGGTGTGTTGTTTTGCGTTGTGTTGTGTTGCGTTGTGTTATCTGGTGTTGTTTTGCGATGTGTTGTGCTGTGCTGTGGTGTGGTGTGGTGTGGTGTGTTGTCGTGTGGTGTGTTGTGTTGTATTGTGGTGTGCTGTGCTATGCTGTGCTGTGTTGTGCTGTGTTGTGTTGTGTTGCGTTGTGTTGTGTTGTGTTGTGCTGTGCTGTGCTGTGCTGTGTTGTGTTGTGGTGTGGTGTGGTGCGGTGGTGTGTGTAACTGTCTATGTGACCTGCGGGTGTGGTGTCACATCGCCAGGGGAGGAGACAGGTGTGCTTGTGTGTGCGCGTGTGCATGTGTGTTTGGCCATGTCGTGCGCTCATGCGCCTCGCCTTCCCGTCCCCACCCGCCTGCCAGGTCCCCTTTGTCGCGACGCATTTGCCCAGAAGTGACGTGAGCCTACGATTCTCGTGCAGTAGGTCGACCTGTCTCTTGGCGCCATGTCCAGGAAGGCTGGCGGAATAACTGCTGATTAGAAGTGGTCTGAAGCTTAATTCTCTGCAGAAGCACTTCGTTTCGCTGCTTGCCCGCTCAACGGAAATGCGCTCCCCACGTCGAACCCTGTATCAATAAGATGGTCCACAGACACCCGCGGTCCTAGCACGTCCCGTGGCACGTCTTTTGGCGCGTCCTTCGGTACGTCTTAAAAAAATGCAGGAATGAGCGTGGCCTTTCGAGCGCGGGCGCAGCGTAATACACGAGAGAACAGGGCCTGAGGCGCGAGGACGCATCGTGCCGTGGCCTAAGGCCGCGGACCAAGCGCAATCAATATACTCGGGATTGTGACGATGGATGCGGAGATCCAACGTAGTTTATTCAAGATCGTGGCGCTAGAAGTTCGGATCCAGCGTAATATTGAAGAGATCGTAGCTCTGGGAGCGCGGACCCAGTGACATGTACGAAGAATTTTGGCCCTGGGGGTGCGCATCCAGCGTAGAAGACCAGCAAACAAGGGTGGGTCGCCCCATGGCACGTCACCCAGCGCGTCCCCTGGCGTGTCCCTCGGCTTGCGCCTCCTTTGGCATTTCTGCGGCGCGTCCCTCGACACGTTCCGTGGCGCATCCCATGGCACGTCCCTTGGCACACCTTCTAGCGTGTCCTTTTGCACGTCCTTTGGCACATCCCCTGGCGCGTCCGTTGCAACGTTCCCTGGTACGTCCACTTGCGCGTCCCGTGGCACGTTCCCTGGCTCGTCCTCTGGCGCGTTCCCTGGATCGTCCTCTGGCCTGTCCCGTTCCCGTTCCGTGGCGCGTCCCTTGCCACGTCCCTCGGCGCGTCCCATGGGACGTCCCCTGGCATGACGCCCCCGTGCGCGCTGAACGCCCGTTGGCACGTCCCGTGGCAACGTCCACGGCACATCCCATGATACGTTGCCTAGCACGTCCATTGGCACATCTTGCGGCGTGTCCATGCGCCCTGCATCCCCTGTTGGCTCGTCCCGTTTCGGAATTGATTCGGATATTGAGTTCAAGGTGGTTGAGTGCTCTGCGCGTTTCGACTAAAATGGACACCCATGCCAAGAAACACCCTGCTTGCCTGGAGGGTGCCCGGGATGTCTTGCGTTTCGATGATGTTGCTACGGAGAGCGTGACGTTCCCACACCAAAGAACAATGGACGTCTTGGGGGTCTCAGGGTTGGGTGTCTTATGGAAGGTGTCCTGTTGTCGAGCTCCTATTGAACAACCAGCTCTGGGCGAGCCATACGTTCAGGCAAGTCGAACTACAAACCCGTATCAGTTCAGTCAGGATGCCGACGTCAGAGACGGTCGGATTCGTAATTCAATAGAGTACGACACAGTTCAACACAGTATGAAGCAGCATCGGTCAGCATGGCACGGTGCAGCGTAGCACAGCACAGCCCTTGGCACGGTATCATTACCATGGATATCCTGAGCATTGTGGGTGCCAGTTACCTTGTTAGTTTTAATTATGTTTCCAGGTTCGTGGGTTGAATCTGCTCGGCTTGCCAGTTGGTCGTTCGTGTTCTCCAGCCATCTCACTCCCTGGTTTGGTGTGTTCGTTTCTGTGTCCCACCCACCCGCAGGTCGTTGAAAGTAGGTATTTCTGTACTCCCAGGTCCCAATCTACTTCAGCCGCCTTCCTACTTCAAGAGTCGAGCGGTTCTCCCTCTTCCCTCCTCTTCAGGGGGCGGGCGGACACCCGATGTATGTCAAACGCTTTCCTACTTTAAGTGTCTACCCACTTCTTCCGACCGACGCGTAATGTTGTATTGCACTCGATTGATTCTGGCTGTTCAGCGATCGGTTATTTATGTTCCTCGTTGGGTTTTGCTTTGTTTGCGATGCCACACGCGGGGGTCCAGTCACTTTGAACGCGATCCTTCGTCGTGCACAGTGAACCGCCGATTGCTACCAATTGGCGCACGGGAGGAGCGAGTGTGTGTGTGTGTGAGTGCGTGCGTGCGTGCGTCTGTGTTGTGTCTGTGCGGCTATGTGTCTGTGTGGTTGTGTGTCTGCGTGTCTGTGTGTCTGTGTGTCTGTGTGCCTGGGCGTGCATACGTGCGCACTCACGCACACGCACGCACGCACGCACGCACGCACACACACAAACGCACACGCACGCGCGCACACATACACACACGCGCACACACACACACACGCACGCACACACGCACGCACGCCCCCGCGCGTGCGCACGCACGCACGCACGCGCACGCACGCAGGCACGCACGCACGCACGCACGTGCGTGTTGTGTCTGGGTGCCTGTGTGTGTCTGTGTGTCTGTGTGTCTGTGTGTCTGTGTGTGTGTGTCTGTGATGTGTGCGTGCATGTGCATGTGCATGTGCATGTGAGTGTGCGTGTGCGTGTGCGTGTGCGTGTGCGTGTGCGTGTGCGTGTGCGTGTGCGTGTGCGTGTGCGTGTGCGTGTGCGCGCGTGCGTGCGTGCGTGCGTGTGTGTGTGCGCGCGCGTGCGTGTGCGTGTGCGTGTGCGTATGCGTGTGCTTGTGCTTGTGCTTGTGCATGTGCGCGTGCGTGAGTGCGCGCGTATGCAGGCGCCTACGCGTGTACGCGTGTGCGCACGTGCGTGTTTGGTTGTGCGCGCGTGTGCGTGCCCATGTGCGTATCATGTACGCTTGTGCGTGCGTGTGTGCGTGCGTACCCGTGTGCGTTGTTTGTTGTGTTGTTGTGTGTTGCGTTGATTGTGGTTTGCTCGTGTTGTGTGTTGGGCGTGTTGCATGTGTGAGGTATGTTATGCGTTGTGTATTGTGCGTTGTTTGTGTGAGTGGTGTGTGGTGCATGCGTGCGAAATCTTACCGCTCTGTTTGTTTGAGCAGGACTCGTCCGAATCGCCGCGGACGTCGTCTGTCTGTGATGAGAGGCGCTCACCCAAGAGCGGCCGCTGTCGGTGTTGGACAACTTGCATGTCTTGTCGGGCAGTTGCCCCTATCGAAGACGCCTACGGCGAATCACCGCCGCCTGCCTTTGTGGAAGCGCTTGCGTGGCCGAAAGTTGGATTTGAGCTTGGCCAAGCTATCGGGCCACGCGTTCCCCGAGTGAGTTTCGCCAGGCACCCCCTGTGATGAATCAACAGGGGGCGGCGGATCGAAGACGCCTACGGCGAATCACCGCCGTCCCCTGCCTTTGCGGAAGCGCCTATGTGTCCGACAGTTGGGCTAGAGCGTAGCCAAGCTATCGGACCATGTGTTCCCCGAGTCGGTTTGGAAAGGTTTCGGGGAACGCGGGGGGAAGGAAGGGAAGGAGGAGAAGAAGGAGGAAAAAGGAGAAGGGGGAGGATGCCTCTTCGGAGCCTCTTGAGGCACTCTTGGGCTCGATTGGGCCATCTTGGGACCGTCCTGGAGACCATGTTGGGGCTATAATGGGCTCTCTTGGGGCCTCTTGAGGGCCTCATGGGGCCATTTGGGGGCTTCTCGGGGGCTTCTTTGGCCGTCTTATGGCGTTCCTGGCCCGTCTGACGCCGTCGGGAGCCGTCTTGGGGCCTCTCTGAACCGACTTGGGGCTCTCTTGGGGCGCTTCGGGTCCGTCTTGGAAGCCAGCTTGGCCGTCTTGGAGGCCTCTTGGGCCGTCTCGGGGTCCTCTTGGGGCCTTCTTGGGGGCTTCTTGGGCCAGCATGGGGCCATTTTGGAGGCCTCTTGGGCCGTCTTGAGGTCTTCGGAAGGCCGAGAAGGAGCAAATGCCAAAATCCTTCAAAAACCTAAGGGAAACCAATGATTTTGGCCTCTCCGGGCTCTCCTTGGGGACCTCTTGGAGGCGTCCTGGGGGGCTCTTGGGGACCTCTTGGGCCGTCTTGAACCATCTTGAGGCTATCTTAGGCCGTCTTGGATGCATCTTGGGCCATCTTGGAGGCATCTTTGGGCCATCTGACCCGCCTTGGAGGTCATGTTGGCCGTCTTGAAGGCCATCTTGGGCCGTCTTGGAGCCGTCTGGAGCAGGAAAAACCCTTGGCAACCACCTCTGGGCAAGCTGGAAGATCTTCCCAGGTGGCCGGCGGGACGGGCCGAAGCCCCAGGGGGAGTTTTTTTGTTGGGGGGGGGAAAGAACCAAAACCAAAACCGAAAGGGTCTAGCACGCAGGGCACCCTGTGGCAAGCCAGCAAGGGGCGGCGGATGAATTGGCTTTCGGCTCATCCTGCCACCGTGCTTGGGTCGTGGCTTGAGGGCCTCTTGGGAGGTCTCTGGGGGCTTCGTGGGTGTTTTTGGTGGGGGCACGCGGGGGCCTCTTGACGGCCTCTTGGCGGTCTCGGAAGGCATCTTGGAGGAAAGAGATCGAAATTCTGAGCAGTTGCAGAGCTCTTAGGCATGTCATTTGATCGCTAATCATCGAACGCATCGGTTTGTAACCTCGAGTGCGTTGGTTCACTGGTCGAGCTATGCTCGGAAAACTGGCTCCGTGCTGCAACTGTTCCTCTTGACCCCTTAGAAGGAGGGGGAGGAGGACGACGACGACGACGACGGTGAGTCGGGAGAGGGGCAGGCGTTCGCCTTCGAACCCTTGGCGGGCCGTGTGGAGCTGCAGGGCGGCCAGGAGTACCGCTTGTCGCAGAGGCCCGCGGCTTCCGTGCCCCGAAGCCGACGCTGTTTTTCGTCGTCGCGAGGGGGTGACGTAAGACTCGGGGGTCGGGGGAACCGGGTTGGCTTGGCGGGGCCATCATGAAAATGGCGAGACCCAGTCTGAAATTTGGCGCGAGTTCCCGCTGCAGACATCCCACGAAAACCGGACCGTCAAAACCCAGGCCACGCTCGTCAAACCCGAGTCCCGGCGTACTCGAGTCTCACGATTCCCCCCCATGAAGCGACGCCCAGCTGGAGGGTTTCTCCGAAGGGCTTAGGCGACTCCTCCTCCGCCTCCTCCTCCGCCTCCTCCTCCCTCCCTCCCTCCCTCCCTCCCTCCCTCTCCTCCTCCTCTTTTTCCTCCTCCTCCTCCTCATCCATCTCCTCCTCCCCCCTCCCCCTCCACCTCCTCCTCCTCCTCCTCCTCCTCGGGTCGCCTACGGTCCCGGGGGAAACCGTGCAGGGGAAGGGGAGTGGATGTGGCAAGTTGTGAGCACCGGGGGGTCTGAGAACGTCTCGCATGGCATGTCAGGTTGCGGGCCGAGAGCCTCGCCAGAGCGGGAGCCCCCCCTGGTGAGGAGGAGTGCGAGGAGCACGTTTCGCCAGTGAGCTGGAACCGTGTGCTTTGACGTGTGTTCCTCTCGTCAGTGAGCTCCAACCATTTTTGCTCGTATTGGATCCCTTTCGTCCGCGAGCAGAATTCACAGGATGTCTCGAGCGGGGGCTTCGTATGTGGGGCAGGAACCAGAGGATGTCTCGAGCGGGAGCTTCGCTTGTGGAGGAGAGTAAGAGGAGGAGGGGCTGACAACATGTGTTTCTTTACAGTGGTCTCTTTAGCCAGTGAGCCGAATTCGCACGTTTTTACATAGGTTCATGTCGTCCATGAGCTCGAATCGAATTGTTTTACATGGGTTCCTTTCGCCCGTAAACAAAATTCAGAGGATGCTTCGAGCAAGGACTTAGTCAGGGGTCAGAACGCAGATTATGTCTCGAGCGGGAGCCTCGTCTGTAAGGAGGAGTGCGAGGAGGGGGTGTTGAAACCATGCGTTTTTACATAGGGGTCCTTTCGCCAGTGAGCTGGAACTGCGTGCTTTGACGTGGATTCCTTTCGCCCGTGAGCTCAAACTATTTGTGTGTGCATAGGTCCTTTTCGCCCGTGAGCAGAATTCACAGGATGTCTCGAGCCGGGGCCTCGTTCGTCAAGAAATAGCGAGGGAATCCCGAGTGGGGCCCCGCCCGTTTCGGTTCGTCTTGTCTCGAATCGTTATGTCTCGATTCTGCCCTCGTGTCGGTTCGTATTGGTTCGGATCGTCTTGCTTCAGTTTTTCGCGTCTCGATTCGCAGCGTTTCGGCCCATCCTTTCGCGGTGCGTTTCTTCTCGATTCGGGTTCGCCGCCTCTCGACTCTTTCCGCTTCGGAATTGGGTCGGATCTTGGGCTCGAGCTGGTTCAGCGCCCCGCACGCATCGAATGCGACCAGCCCTGAGCAAGCCATGCGTTCAGGCATGTCGAGTTTAAGATCCATACCAGTTCGGTCACCACTTGGACGCCAAGGCCGCATTGCTTCACAACGGAAAGACTACGGCACAGTTCAATTCTTCGGCATGGCACAGCATTTTTCAGCATGGCGCGGCGCAGCACGGCACCGCGCAGCGCAAAACAGCGCAGCCCATGGTTCACCATCTATATGTTCAGCATTTCCATCGTGCCCATGAGAGGTGCTCCATGCTTTGCAATTCTGTATGTGATTATATATACACATGTGTACATACATATATATATATATATACATAAACACTTACACATATAGACACATATACCTTATTCCGAGTACGACCATGATGCTTCCCCTGGCGGTAACGCGCGTGACCTAGCGGGGAGGGGGGGAGGAGGCCTGACACACCACGATTCGCGGCTGAGCCGTCTGGGAGTGCCCAGGAATGGCTGATTCACACACGGCGCCGGCGCGAATCGTGACGTGACCGGGGGGGGCGGGGGCGGAAGGACGGGGGGGGCGGGGCTGGTCACGGGCGCTATCGCGAATATGCAGTAAATAGTAAACGGGCTTTGGAGGACCTCCGGAGGCCCTCGGAAGTCTCAGGAGCTCTCCGTGCCTCCGGAGGTCTCCAGCAGGGCCTCCCTCCAGAAGCTCCTGCCGGGGGCCCTCACGAAGGCCCTCGCCGAGGCGCCCTCGCGGCGTGGGCCCGCAGCGTGCCCTCTGCCCCTCGCGGCCTCGGGCGGCCCCCGCGAGGTGCCGGGCGGGCATGCCCGACCTGTGGCCGGACGCGCGGGCGGAGGCCGCGGACCCTTCGCACGCCACGGGGTTGGGCGCTGGGCGTCGCTTCATGGGGGGAAGCTGGAGGGTTTCTCCGAAGGGCTTTGGCGACCCCTCCTCCTCCTCCTCCTCCTCCTCCTCCTCCTCCTCCTCCTCCTCCTCTCCTCCTCCTCCTCCTCCTCCTCCTCCTCATCCTCCTCCTCCCCCTCCTCCCCCTCCTCCCCCTTCATCCTCCTCCTCCTCCTCCTCCTCCTCTCCTCCTCCTCCCTCCTCCCTCCACGTCCCCCTCCCCCTCCTCCTCCTCCTCCCTTCCTCCTCCTCCTCCTCCTCCTCCTCCTCCTCCTCGCCCTCCTCGCCCTCCCCCCTTGGGTCGCCTACAGCCCCGGGGGAAACCGTCCCCATGGGGGAAGCGTGAGACTCGAGTACGCCAGGACTCGGGTTTGCCGACTTGTTTTTTTGACGAGCGCGTCCTGGGTTGTGACGGTCCAGTTGTCCTGGGATTTCTGCAGCGGGAGTTCGCGTCAAATTGCAGATTGGGTCTCGTCATTTTCATGATGGCCCCGCCAGGCCAACCCGAGTCGCACGTCTCCCCGATAATATCGGGGCAACAAGCGGGGGAGGGACAGTTGCACTCTTCGGGGGGGGGGGTGGCAGTTGCATCAGTGGCCCTACGGGGCCCTTTTTCTGTGCAGCCCTCGCTGCACCCCCATTTATCGCCCCCCCGTTACGCGATGTCCGAGGGTCGGGGGGGGACAACGATAGGGGGGGATTCGGACGGGGCTAGGACGAGGATAAATCCGTTCAAGGGCGTTCTCGAAGCCACGCAAGGGGCAAGATCTAGGGCGAGATCTAGGGCGAGCTTGCAGACGATTTCGACGCGCCCGGCAAGGCTAGCCCGAGATTCCAGTCAGCCACAATGATATATACACAGACACCCTCCAATGGATTGCTCCTGGGCCACAGGGGAGGGTGGCGGTGGGTAAAGCACCACTGAGAGCCAGCGATGTTGTACACCGCCACCCTCCCTGCAGGTACAAGCAAAGTTCATCGGATGGTGTCTGTGCATCTATTTTCGTGGCGCATCCAGGTTTCGAGATTACGAGGCGCCTTTGTTTCGAAAACCAGTGATGTCGACAGCGAGTGCTGACGGCCAGCGGAAGGTATAACAGGAATATGTGCGACACACGTTGTTCTTCGAGAGTGTTCCGATGATTTGATCTCGAATGCGAGGTACAAGAGCTCCAGCAGCACCGCGGAGCATGGTTTGTGGTCCTGTGATGGAGCCCTGGTGAGGCTCAAGGTTTCGAGATTCAGAGGAAACTTGCGATTGATGCGCGAGTCCTAGGCGTGACCATGCTTGACCTTTCAATCTAGAACCGAAGTAATCAATCAATTGAGCTTGCTAGATATCGACAGCCAGCTCCAGGGAAACGTTTGAGCTGGCGACGACCGGTTGGAGTTCCGTGAGGTTCTCAAAAAGGCAAGTATTGACGAGTTGTGTTCCCCGAGTTTCGTGAGGTCGTCGAGTTCCCGTCTGTTGGCCAAACACCCGCAGTTGCGCGAGTTCAGGGCACATGGATCAGCATCCCGAGGCATGCAGCACATGTGCGGCCTATGGACGTTAGAAGAAACTCCGACGCGCAAGCTTGTCAGATTGAGAATATGGCCCAAGCCGAATGTCCGCATCGTCGTTGCTCGTTCGTACTTCACATCGTGTTGAATCAATTGCTTCACCTAGTTGTCCGTATCCACGTTCGTCACGTTTTCGGGGTACGTATCTCTTTACCCCTGTTCCCTCCCTGCCATCCTCCTCCTTGCCTCTCAATTGTCTGCCTGCTGCCACAGCTCGCCTTTGCATTCACGATGCTAGGCAAAAGACATCGGCCCACAGTCGCGTCTTGACTTGTCTCACCCCCTTCCCCGGACCCCTCGTGGGAAGCGCTCACACCAGGATTTCAGAGGCAATCCAGATGTGGCCACGAAGGGGCCCCTGGAGGCTCAAAAAGCCCAGGAGCGTTCAAATTTGGCTTCTCGAGCCTCGAACTTCCATCGTGACCACGACGACGTCGACGACGACGACGGTGGCAGGGGCGCCGGTCGCATGCCCGATCATCGGCCAGCCGCGCAGCCCTCGGCGGAGGTTGGTGCCGGCTGGCACGACCCCGTGGAGGCCGCTGCCCTGGCCGAGGCTGGCCAAGGCTCGACGGCGCGCACAACCCTCAGATCCAGGCGTCGCCGCAGATCAGTATCGTTTGACCGATCCCTGTCCCCATGCCCGTCCCCATCTCGACCCCATCATCCCACCGCCCCAGTTCAGAGCCCCGAATCATCAGGGGTAACTCGGGTCAGGGATAACTCGGGTTCCTTTTTCGGGAATCCAAACCCGAGTTACCCCGGACCCGAGTTACCCCGGATAACTCGGGCGTCCAGAGCCCCGAATCATCCGGGGTAACTCGGGTCAGGGATAACTCGGGTTCCTTTTTCGGGAATCCAAACCCGAGTTACCCCGGACCCGAGTTACCCCGGATAACTCGGGCGCCCAACCAGTTGGGGATGTACCCCTCAGAACCCAGGGGGAGCAGCCTGTATCCCCATCTAGGGCGGGTAGCTCGGCCAGTGGGCCCAGGCCACACCAGCGGGGATAGGGATCCGTTAAACGATGCTCCCAGATCCAGGCGTCGCCACAAAAAAAATTAGCCTGGCGAAGGACCCAACCATATGCAGTGGTGAATACCGTCGTTGTGAGTATCGCATTCGGCCCTATGGGGCTACGAAACGCTGTCCTGGGCGTGGGGGGCGCATGCGGGCACCCCCACTGGGGCCTTCGGTGGAGCTCCCTATGGCGCCACGAAACGCTGTACTGGGCGTGGGGAACGCATGCGGGCACCCCCACTGGGGCCTTCGGTGGAGCTCCCTATGGCGCCACGAAGCGCTGTCCTGGGCGTGGGGGACGCATGCGGGCACCCCCACTGGGGCCTTCGGTGGAGCTCCCTGTGGGGCCACGAAGCGCTGTCCTGGGCGTGGGGGACGCATGCGGGCACCCCCACTAGGGCCTTCGGTGGAGCTCCCTATGGGGCCACGAAACGCTGTCCTGGGCGTGGGGAACGCATGCGGGCACCCCCACTGGGGCCTTCGGTGGAGCTCCCTATGGCGCCACGAAGCGCTGTCCTGGGCGTGGGGGACGCATGCGGGCACCCCCACTGGGGCCTTCGGTGGAGCTCCCTATGAAGCTACGAAACGTGTGAGGGGTGTGCCGAGAGCAGAGGCAATGAGGGGGAGGAGGGAGGAGGGGGAGGGAGAAGCGGGAGGAGGAAGGAACGCGGGGCGCTGTCTCTTCAAAACGAGGACCCAACACCACAGGATGGTTGGGAAATACAGCGAAGGCCAGTCCACACGAGACCTTCCAAAAGAAACCCAACCCCGAGACCCCAGGACTAGGGGAACGAACAATGACATAAACATAACAACTCGGAGGTCCGCGCGGATTTCTCGAATCGGCGCCGGAGGCGCCGCCAGGGGGCCCCAGCGCCGATCCGAGAAATCCGCGCGGACCTCCGAGTTGTTATGTCTATGTAATTCTTCGTTCCCCTAAGGACGTCCATCGATCTGGTTGGGAACGTCGCGCGTTCCATGGCAAGGCCCAGCAAAATCCCAGCATCTCGGGGCACCCTGGACGCAAGCAGGGTGCTTCTTGGCACGGGCCTCCACGGTATGCGGCGGTTTCCGCACCCTGGAGAGGCTGCTGCCCGAGTGCCCGGGAGGCTCTCCTTCGGGGCTCGAGGGGCTCGGCGGGGGGGGAGTCCAAAGCCCCGACCCCCCCTCGCTCTTCCTCCCTCTTCTCCTCGCTCTGCCTTCTCCTCCTCGCTCTGCCTCCTCCTCCTCCTCCTCGCTCCTCCTCGCTCCTCCTCGCTCCTCCTCCTCCTCCTCATCCTCGCTCCTCGCTCCTCCTCCTCCTCCTCCTCCTCCTCGCTCCTCCTCCTCCTCCTCCACATCCTCCTCCTCCCCCTCCTCCTCCTCCTCCTCCTCCTCCCGCCATAGGAGAAGTTCCCCAGGAGCATGTGGATGTGCTTCAGGAGGTCGACGCTATGACTGGTAAGGTCTTGCGGCGTCTTCTTGATGTCATTCGTGAGGTCGCCTTGACATGCAAGCGCCTCGTGGCAGACAGGGTCGGGCGTCCCCCTCGTCACCCCAAGGCATTGCCCTCCTACGCCACTCGTAAGCAACGTCTCGAGGCGGCTGGGCATTCTGTCAAGATGGTTGGCTCCAGATTTAAGTGTTGTCTGTGTCGTCGCCATTTCGAGGCGACTCGAGGCAAGGTCTCCGATTTCGTCCCTGGGCGGTGCTTGGGGGCGCGACAGATAAGACCCTTGGAAGGGCGTGAAGCCCTGGTTTCCCTCGGGCTCATTCGTCTCACGACCTTGCTGTGTATCGTGGTGTCCTGTACTGTCAAGTTTGTGGGAGATTTATGACTCTGAACTCCCAGCTCCTCGCGGAGGGCTGTCCACCAAGTCGCAAACCCACAGAAGCAGGCGCCGGCGTGTTGTCGCGCCTCCGACGAGGCCTACCGCCAAAGAGTGGGATGTCCTTTCCTGATCGGTGATCGGTTACAGGTGCATGGAAGACTGAAGTGAATGTGTGTGCGATGTTGGAAGCGCCCTGGCTTGACCAGGTCTCCGCCGAGTGCCCAACCAATCCCCCTCCCCTCATGATGGAGCATGGGCAGGCCAATCATCAGGGGTCCGAACCCGAGTTGCCCCGGGCCCGAGTTACTCCAGTTGACTCGGGCGTCCAGAGCCCCGAATCATCAGGGGTAGCTCGGGTCAGGGCTAACTCGGGTTCGTTTTTTCGGAACTCCGAACGCGAGGTTTCGTTTTTCGGGGCTCGAACCCGAGTTACCCCGGGCCCGAGTTACCCCGGATGATTCGGGCGTCCAGAGCTTGAACCATCAGGGGCAGCTCGGGTCAGGGCTAACTCGGGTTCGTTGTTCGGGACTCCGAACCCGAGTTACCCCGGGCCCGAGTTACCCCGGATGACTCGGGCGCCCAAGGGAGAAAGAAGGAGGCCTTCTCAAAAGGCGGCGGGACTGCTCAGAAGCCCTCGCGCCCTCAGGGAAGTGTTGCCTTCCTTCGGGGGCGGCTGTGAAGACTTCTCAGAAGGCCTGGGGGCTCCCGAACCTTCTGAGGAGGCCTTCTCCTTCTCACTTCCCCCCTCGCTCGCCGCCGAGAGACGGGGGTCAATGCGAACGGGGGTCCGTCAGGGCGCCCGATCGTGCACTGGCAGGTCCAGGGGCGCCCCGACCCATGTTCGGAGGTGCAGGATCCAGCAGGATCCTGCAGGACCTTGCAGGGTTCTGCAAGGCCTGACTGGCCCGGGTCTGGAACGACGCAGGTCAATAGGCCTTTGATTGTTCAACCAAAAGTCGGCCTTCTTGAGAAGGCCGTTGCCCGACGCCATCTTACCCAAGGCCGCCCCCTCGCGCCACCCTTGTTCAGGGGGGGGGAAAACGCACACGCACACACACACACACAGAGACACCATGAATCGTCGCTTCCCAGGGAAATAGGGGGAACTATGGGAAGTGGGAGGAAGACGGAAAAACTGGAACACATGAGGAAAATATGGGGGGTCCTGCTATTTGTGTCTATTTATTCGTGCGTCCCACACCTTTGCGCGCGCCGCCAACAGGCGGGCCACCGTGGGCGGTTGCGTACGCCACCTTCGTCGGAGGCGCGTACAACTTCGACGGCGGCTACCCGTCCTTCGACGACCTCTCCGGCCGTCGTGTTGGCATGGTGAATCTTAAGATTCTTGATGCTCTGCGTGCCATCCGCCCGCCCACCCAGGGGCAACTTGGTTCAACCGGAGCAGGGGCCGGCCCAAGAGCAGATCGCCGAGACAGCGTGCGGCGGGTTCTTGCGCCGCATATCGACGCGGCGGCGGCCGGCGAGCCCGCGTTCGACGTAGAACGCCGTAGTGGTGGCCCGGCGCCGGCCGACGTCGAAGGATCGGTGCTGTCCGAGAGCCGCGGCTGTTCGGGACTGTGCAGGCCCGGACCTCCCTGCGTCGTGAAGAAGTCACGACGGGAGGTTTTTCGCTACTTTCGGCCTCCAGAGGCCCTTCCCGGGCCTCGGGGCCGTCAAAAAACGACTCAGGATGAAAAACCGGTCCCAGGGAAGGGGTTCAGAATTTTGGGATTCGACGCTGTGTCGGAGGTTGATAGATCTCCTACCCTGACACGTCGATTAGCGAATTGGTCGTTTGCGGTTCGCGAGAGGGAGTCGCGGCCGTTATTTTTGCGGGTCCAGGTCCGTCGGTTTCGGTCCTGGGCCGTTTTCACTACACTAAAGGGTGGTTTGCTAAAGGGGGGTTTGTCCACCGCCGATTGTGAGAAAATCACGACGTCGGGGGTCTGGGGGGCGGGGCGAACGCGCTGCCAGGGGCCAAACGCCAGCGTCACGGCGGTGGGGGGCACGCCGTTGCCCGCCTCGCGCCCCGCCAGCGGCCCGCCCGAGACAGGCCTACGACGCGCCCGCGACCCGCACGCCCACCACGACCTGCCCCGCCGGCGACCCGCCCGCGGCCCTCGCGGACGGACCTCGGAGGCCCCCAGGCGGTGTTGTGACCACACCGCGTGGCTCTAGGCCTCCTAGATGGGTCGGGGTAGATGGGGTCGGAGGATCGCGCCGCATCGCCGATGCCTCGGCGATGCATCGGCGATGCGGCTCGATGTGGGGCCCAATTCTCTCCACGCCGACGTCGCCGATGCGTCGCCGACGCCGCCAGCTCGTCGGCGATGCATCGGCGATGCATCGGCAAGGTATCGGCGATGCGGCGAGATCAACCGACCGCATCTACTCGGACCCCGTCTAGGAAGCCTCCAGTGGTGAATCGGTGGGGATCCGGGGTCATCCCAGACATGCTCGCGCTGCACAGGAATCAGGACGGGCAGTTTCCAACAGCTGTCGGCCTCCATGGCCCAGGGGGGCCTCACCTGGCCCCAGGGCCGTCAGGGAACGGTCTGGAACGAAAAACCAGCCCCAGAGAAAGGGTCGGGGCTCGTGGGATCAGGCACTTTGAAACAAACAAACAAAAAGTGCAATCGGGTTCTTGGGACTCGGGTCGTTCTCCGAGGACGTCTCGGGCGACCGGGGCCTCCGAGGTCCCGAGGCCGTGCGGCGGTGGGCCGTGCGGTGAGGTCTCCAGGGTCTGTCGCCACACGGTTCTGGGTCCCCCAGGCGGTCGTCTCCCCCCTTTTCGTCGGCTTGAGCGAGAAGGGGGGAAGGGGGATGGGCAAGGGCGAACGCTGTTGCTTGCAACCGCGTTCGGCCCCGCGCGCCGGGCGTTTTCCTCGATCTTGGACGCCCGAAATGGGGACGGAAAGCATTTCTCTGGTTTCTGACCCCCCCCATAGAATTTTGTCAGGCTGGCGACCGTGGATCGCGGTCCCTCTGCTTGCTGGGCAAGATTTGAACCCTCACCCATCATGGCACACCAAGGACGCTCCATCTACTGCCGACGCCCCTGGCCCAAACACCCCTCGGAGGGGGTGGGAGGGGAAGAAAAAGTCGTTTCGGAAGAGTGGGCACTCTAACCCGCCTGCGCCTATAGGGCTGGTGGGATTGCGCCACATATCCAGCTGCCTGCGGCAATTCTCGCCACCGTGCCAGCCCAGCCTTCTCGGTGGCAGTTGCTTGAATCCCTGAAGATGATGATGATGATGATGATGATGATGATGATGATGATGATGATGATGATGATGATGATGATGATGGTGATGATGATGATGATGATTGATGCTGATGCTGATGCTGATGCTGATGCTGATGCTGATGATGCTGATGCTGATGCTGATGCTGATGATGCTGATGCTGATGCTGATGCTGATGCTGATGATGATGATGATGATGATGATGATGATGATGATGATGATGATGAGATGGCGACGATAATAATGGTGATGATGCGGATGCAACTGCTGATTAGGATGGTGATGGTGATGGTGATGGTGGTGATAATGCTGATGATGATGGTGATGATGATGACGATTGTGGGTATCGAAGACGCCTACGGCGAATCACCGCCGCCCCCTGCCTTTTTGGAAGCGCCTATGTGGCCGAACGTTGAGGCCAGACCTGCCAAGCTATCGGACCACGTGTTCCCCGAATCGGTTTGGAAAGCCTTCGGGGAACACGTGGGCATCTTGAAGGTCATCTTGGCCGTCTTGGAGGCCTCTTGGGCAAGCTTTGGGCGATCTTTGGGGCTTTTTGGGCCGTCTCGGGCCAGCTTCGAGCCAACTTCGGCCATCTTGGTGGGTTCCTGGCACGTCTGAAGCCGTCGGAAGCCGTTTGGGGGGCCTCTATGGGCCGACTTGGGGCCCGCTTGGAATGCTCCAGGGCCGTCTTGGAGGCCATCTTGGGCGTCTGGGAGGCCATCTTGGGCGTGTTGGAGGCCTCTTGGGCCCTCTTGGGGCCCTCTAGGGGCCATCTTGGAGGCCACTTGGGCCATCATGGGGCTCTCTTGGGGGCCTCTTGGGCGATCTTGGGGGCTTCTTGGGCCGTCTTGAGCCGTCGGAGAGCCGAAAAGGCGCAAATGCCAAAATCCTTCAAAAACCAAGGGAAAATCAATGATTTTGGCCTCTTCGGACTCTCCTGGAGGACCTCTTGGAGGCCTCTTGGGCCGTCTGGGAGGCCTCTGGGGGGCCTCTTGGGCCGTCTTGGGCCGTCTTGGACTCTCTTGGGCCGTTTTGGAGGCCGTCTTGGACCATCTCGGGCGGACTTGGAGGCCATCTTGGGCCATCTTCGCGATTTTTTGAGGATGTCCCGAGCGAAACGGCCGTTTTTGGGCATTGAGGGATGGGTTTTCCGAAATTTGCGGGTGGCCGGCGGGACGGGCCGAAGCCCACTGGGGAGTTCTTTTAGAAAAAGAACCAAAACCAAAACCTGAATCATCCAGCACGCCGTGCACCCCTGCAAGCAGGGGGCGGCGGATCGAAGACGCCTACGGCGAATCACCGCCGCCCCCTGCCTTTGTGGAAGCGCCTATGTGGCCGAACGTTGAGGCCAGACCTGCCAAGCCATCGGACCATGTGTTCCCCGAATCGGTTTGGAAAGCCTTCGGGGAACACGTGGGCGTCTTGATGGTCATCGTCGCCGTCTTGGAGGCCTCTTGGGCGATCTTTCGGCGATCTTTGGGGGCTCTTGGGCCGTCTCGGGCCGTCGGAAGGCCGAAAAAAGGGAAATGCCCAAATCCATCAAAAACCTTGGGAAAATCAGTGATTTTGGCATCTTTTGGCCTTCCTGGAGGCCCTCTTGGGGGCCTCTTGGGCCCTTTTGGGCCAGCTTCGAGCCAACTTCGGCCATCTTGGTGGGTTCCTGGCACGTCTGACGCCGTCGGGAGCCGTTTTGGGGGCCTTTCTGGGCCAACGGGGGACCCTCTTGGGGCGCTCCAGGGCCGTCTTGGAGGCCATCTTGGGCGTCTTGGAGGCCATCTTGGGCGTGTTGGAGGCCTCTTGGGCCCTCTTGGGGCCCTCTAGGGGCCATCTTGGAGGCCACTTGGGCCATCAGGGGGCTCTCTTGGGGGCCTCTTGGGCGATCTTGGGGGCTTCTTGGGCCGTCTTGAGCCGTCGGAGAGCCGAAAAGGCGCAAATGTAAGTGATGCACGGGAATGATTGTGAATGTCTGCCGCCATTTATCTCACAGGCACTTCTCTTCGGGAAGAGGCATCGTTGATGGCAGGGCGGCTCCTCGGCGCTGGCGCGCAGTGGGCTGCGGCCATCAGCGGGCAGGCGCTGGGCACCTGGCTGGGCGGGACCAGCCAGGGGCACGGGTGCGAGTGCTCCTGCCACTTCGAGACCTCGCCAGACGAGGCGCTGATCGGGCTGCTCAAGGGGCAGCTGGACAGGTGCGGGCCAGAGCACCTCCACGGGCAGCCCGCCTTTGCACCGGACTGCCCAGCCTGCGCCCCTTGCCCGCCCGGGCACACCGGGCTCGAGGTGGTCCTGGCACTGCTGCTGGGGCTTGTGCTGGGCGCGGTGCTGCGCGAGGTCGCCTGTGTGTTCGGCCGTCGCTCTGCTCCCGTGCCCTCGGAGCCGATTGATGTCAGCAGCGCGCACGGCCAGGGCGTTGGAGAGCCTATCGATCGGGTGCAGGGTCCTCGCCTACTACGATCGCGACGACAACTACTGGCATGAAAGATATATCATCGGAAAGGTTACCGACACGCGCTTCATTGTGGTCACCCCACACTTCGACATCTACGAGGAGGACTTCTCGGAGAGTCTCGCTCTCTGCCTCATCGGCCCCCGAGGGGGGCTGCCCACCAAGCTCAATGGGCACGTCCTGCGCCTGGACATGGACAGGTTCAGACGCAACGAGGCGCGACTTCTCGGGGAGGGCCGTCAGCTGGCCAAGGAGATCCGCGAGGCTGAGGGGCTCCCAGAGGGCCCGCCTGGCGCCCTCGCCGACGCCGCCGCCGACGGGGACGCTGCCCAGCTTCCCCTGCCGCCGCCCCCAGGCGCCCCTGGGGCCGCTCAGGGCGGCGCTGCTCGCGCTGGTGGCGCTGGCATGCCTGTTCGCTGGGTGGCTGCCGAGGAGCGGGCTGGCTACAAACCCGGAGACGAGGTCGGGCTGCGGCAGCCCGAGGTCGTGCTGGGCGACCGTGGCGTCTGCGAGCTCACCGACGGCACCGCGCTGGCTGTGGCCAAAGAGGGGACGCTGGAGAGCACCGCCACGCCACGGGCGGCAGCCGAGCAGGACTTGCGGACGCTTCCTGTCAGGTACGACGCGCGTGGCATCCGCGGCAGGGACTTCACCGA